CTGTGGGGTGGTATGCTGTAATGGGGGCTGAAGAGTCTGAGGCAAGGCAATTAGAGGTTGCCCGGTAGATCCAAAATTAGGTAAGGAAAGCTGGGAGGCTGGCAAAGGTACTGTAACCTGCTGGAGAGCACTTGGTGACTGGGCAGTGTTATAAAAGTTTGTCTGTCCAGGTTGCTAAAGGCATCAACTCTTTTCTGTCATCCTTATTCATTGTGTCCAGCTCTGCGATACATAGCAAGTGATTGAATAGAACATGCCCTGGATCAGGTGCACCTTAGTCCTCAAACTTGGGCTTCTTGCATGTTCAGTAATTTGGAGAGGTCCTTAACAGCAGACTTGCCTAGTGCATTATGTCTCCTGCATGAATAATAAGTCTGTTAAGGTGTTTAATGCTAAGGAGGCTGGGAGAGGGTAGTTACCTTTGTGGTTTGGGTAATTTCACGTACATAGTTCTCTTATGTCACACTCCCGAACCTGGACCCCATGTGAAGTGGCCAGGACTCCAGTCCTCAACAGTGCTTCACTAGGATGGCTCCCTCCTCCCAGGAACCAGCACGCCAAGCTGACAGTGTACCAAGGTCTGTGTACTTTCTCCCTTTTCCCCTCTTTACCAATGTCTCCTCTTTGAAGAGTGTCACTATCTCCACTCTCCAGCATTAGATCTGCCACCTCACTCTACAAACCTCAAGTTACACATGGAGAATTCCTGGTGAGGATTCTGCTCACGCTGAGCTGACTTGGCCTAAAACAGGGAGCGCTGGTGGCCTAGTGGTCAGGAGCTGCACTGCCAACCCTTAGGCACACAGTTTGAATCCACTCATCACTCAGGGAGAGAAAAGAGATGATCTTCTCTTGTGCTATTTACTGCCTCTAAAACCTACTGGAGGGCCAGGTATGGATCAGTTCTGTGTTGGTGCATAACAAGAAGAAACAGAGGACATGTGTACCTCAGCCCTGTTCCCATTTCCACCCTCTCCCCTTTCCCCCCAAATAGTGCCCTGGCAGATCATTTAGTCAATCTTTTATTGTTGTTGTTGTTGTTGGGTCTATATTTAAAAAAATAATACGGTTTTCAACATTTTCTGTAGTACAGGACTTGTGTTTTTACTTTCTGAGATTTTGAAAGAAGAATGTACATGTGAAATCCTCCAATTATTCCGAATCTCAGCTGACAGGAGAGCTACAGGCTGCTCCCCAGGAAATGCTGTCCACTGAGACACCTGAGGGAATCCAGGGGGTCAAGCCTTGGGGATCTGAGTCTGGTCTCAGCTCAGGGCCTTTCTTCACATCACTGTCCCCTGTCTCTCCATTTTCCCGCATCGGAACCCGTGGATTCTTCCTCCCACAGATGGCTGCTTCCTCAGTCCCTCTTCCTCCCATGTAAACAGAGATGTCAGTCCCAGGGCATCTCTGCTGTGGGATTTTCACCAGAGCTCACTCACTCTCCTGCATGTTGGTGGTGAGTGTTTCCACAAAGTCATTCTTCTACCACCAGAGCAGAGACCCCCTTCTCCTAGAGAGCTCCCCAGTACCAATGCACACTGAACAGGTCAGATGATAAACGTCAGATTTTTATTGAGACGTGGACACAGGGAGGGTGAGGGACCACCCAAGTGTGGGCTGGCACCAGGCAAGGGTTCAAGGAGACAGTGGAGCAATGGGAAGAGGGGATATGGATGGGACAGACCTTCTCTGCGGAGTCCATGCTGTTCTGACCCCCTGGCTGGGGGAGCTCAGGACCCAGCACACTCTGAAGGGACCACTGTCTGCTCTGTGGTGGTCCCATCGTGGGTGGCCTGGCAGGTGTACTTGTCATGGGACTTCCACTGAGCATGGGTCACGGTCAGGTAGCTGCTGAGTGCATACTTCCTGTTTCTCTGTTTTGTGGACTCGGTGGTCTGCACGCCCTGGGTGACAGTTTTCCCATCTTCCTTCCAGGTCATGGTGACGCCATCAGGGTAGAAGTCAGTGATGAGACATACCAGTGTGGCCTTGTCAGCTCGGAGCGTCTCAGGGGACGGTGGGTACAGAGAGACGGTGGGCGTGGTCTTGGGCTGACTGGGGTCTGGTGAACAGAGGGGGTGGTGGTGAGGTGCCAGTGACTCTGGGGGGTTGGCAGCACCCTGTCCTACTTCCTGTCCTTCTGTTTCAGTTTGAGTGCCCCCCGGGGAGCTGTGTATCCTTTCCTGCTGTTCTTCTTCCTCTTGGAGGAAGAGCAGACCGGCACCCCTTTCAAGTCCTGCTTTCCCAGTGACCTGAGAAGTAGTCACTCTGTGTGTGTTGGCCTAGGCTTCCCTGGTGACCAGTGATTGTGAACCTGTGCCCCTAGTTTTGAATCTGACCACCTTCCTGTGTCCTTAGTGTTAGTTTCACATGTTGCAAAGTTCAACACTATTTCCTTGAAATTCAGGTGTTCCCATTACTACCTTGTTGGGGTGTCCTCTCTATGGTCTTGTAAGATGAGGTTGTCCCGGTAAGTGAGACATTGTGAGAATGTATTCAGAATTCCTCTGCATCTATGTAATGCTGTGTGTGTGAGACTATCCCCCCTGGTCTGCATCTGTGTCTGTGCTAAATACGTGGCTCATTTAGCTATCACTGGGATTGAGTAGGGATCTTCATGGCAGAAAACCCTGTGGCAAATCTGAATCTCTTCCCCTCCCTCACTCTACACTAGTCAGACTGCAGGACCTTCATGCGGATCAATTCTTGGGGGTTATTCATTCACAAATTAGGGTCCATCTGCCCTGCACCCCATCAGAACCCTCTGACCTCTCTGATTGACCCAGCAGCCATTATGTTACTAGAGAAGCTCCCCGCTGCATCCCGCAGTTTGCCCCAAGTCAGGGCACCATCGCACAGCTGGGGACTGCTCAGAGTTGCTCTGAACAGATCGGACTGTGCTGTGAGGGACCAGCAAGTTTAGTCTAGCACTGCTGCTTTCTGATTCTCACACTGGGGGTGATGGTCTCCCACCACCTCACATGGCCTCATGCGCTCTGTGGCTCCCTGTTCCTGGGCCCCAGGGAGCTTCAGACTCGAATGAATTGATTCCCTCTCTTTACCCTGTTGTTATGTCTCCTCAAGCTGTTTTCTCCTGAGCCCTGAGCTGATTTCACAGCCTCTTCTGTATCCCTGGGTTTTGTACATCTCCCAGGCCCCATAGGGATCAAGACTCAGTCTCCCTGACTCTAAAGCCTCCATCCCTGGGTCAGAACAGGCTTCAGCCCCTCTTGAGGTTTGCTCGGGAAGTGGGACAGGAAGGTCTGTGCTGAGGCTGAGTTCAGGGCCAGACCCCCATGCCTGGTGGGTCAGCACCCAGCTGTCAGACTCTAAAAGAGATGGCCCTCTGTAGGTGTCTGTGTTACTGGGAACCCTGGGAGAAATCCCTCTTCCAAGTTAACATGAGTATACTAATGTTAGCAAGGGCAGTGGATAAGAGGATCCCACTAGATAGAAGAGAGTTTCTGGAGACAGGAAAGCCTGGGAAAGCCACTTACCAGTGACAGTGAGCTTGGTCCCGCCGCCGAAGAGATACCATGGTGAGTGAGACTCAGACCAAAACTTATGGGGCCAGCATCTGGCACTTGCCTTTGGGGCTCTGGGCCAGAGCCAGAACCTGTTGGGTGTGACAGATATGGGCCATAGACAGGGACATTAGGGTGCAGGCAGCTGCTCACCAGCCACAAAGATGGGGCAAATCTTGCCCTGCCCCCCTCCCTCTCTGACGCAGTCAGCCTTGCTTTTTTTGTCTCCATTACATAGAGAGCTCTGGTGGAATGGTGGTAAGAAGCGGCCCCGTGAACCTTAAGGGACAGGGGTTGAATCCACCTGCCACTCTACGGGAGAAAGATGGGCAGTCCCTTTCCTGTGTGATTTACTGCCTCTGAAAACCCAATGGAGTGTCATCTGTGAGTTGATAGTTGTCATTAGGTATGTTCTTCGAGTCCAACTCATAGAAACTCTATGAATAACAGACCTGAGACCCGTCCTCACTTGTGCCATTCTCATCATCTCTGAGATACTTGATACCATTGCTGCAGTCACTGTGCTAATGTATCTCATAACACCATCCCTCCCATCACATATTTAGGATGAACTAGGTGCTCCACAGTTAGCCAGGTCCTTGATTAGCTCTCTCAGGTAATAGTGGTTGTTTTCTGTTTTTATTTTTATTTTTTACCATGAGGTTTTACGGAGTCGTCCTCTCAACAAGCTTCCACAGTCCAATCATGTCAACTTCTTCCCTAGGTTCTAGGGCACCAGGTCATTCCTGACTTAATGGGGTCTCATGTGGACACCCCTCTCCTGTTGTGTCCATCTATCAAGGGTCAACTCTGTTCCATCTCCTTCATGAAGCTTTCTCTGATCTCTTAGATCACCATCTTTCTTTATGTCCTCCCATTAATAATGTGCATTTATTTACTCATCTATCCACCTCTTTATCCATTTATCTTCCCATTCATCTACTCATACATCCTTCTGTCTGACTATCCATCCATCCATCCATCCTTCATTCATTCATCTGCCAGTTCATCTATAGATACTTTGGTGTTTCCAGCCATCCATTCTTTCATCTATACACCTATCCATCTACTCATCCATCCATCTATGCCAGGCAGTGTTTCTTAAGCCAGAACACAGTGAGCCCTGCTGCCTGACTCTTCCTTCCACCTTTCCTTGTAACTTTACAAATCAAAGTCACCAAAGGCCCCATCACCGTTAAGTGACACTGTTATTGGTCACACATCTCAGAGATTCCCACCCCCTACTTTTGTGTCTAAGAGGCCACACTTAGACATTTGTCCCTAGTTGTTCCCCTATCTTATCCTGTGTTAATCTGAAAATTACCAAAAACCCAGGTCACACTTTCCAATTTTTTTCTGTTCTCCTTGCATTTGATACCTGAAAAGCGTCCAAGGAGGCTTGGACCCTACTTCCCGATCTGACTTTTCTGCTAGACTCCAAATTGACACATTTCTTCAAGAATATCTCATGGAAAACCAGTATCAAATAATAATAATAGGCGAACTCTGGTGGCCTAGTGACAAGAAGCTGCACTGCAATTCCAGAGGTGAGCAGTTTGAATCCACCAGATGCTCTGTTGGAGAAGGAGGGGAAATCTCCTCCTGGACCAGTTAATTCTGATTTGATTATACGCACATACAAAATAATAAAAAAATTAGAAAATAATAAAAAGGGAATATCATAATTACAATTTAAATCCAACAGACCCAAAATGAAATAATCACAATTCCCTGTAAACTTTCACACTGACATCCACCACCCCTGCCGCAGTATCTTCACTTCAGAAGGTGTTTCTCCAATTATAGAATCATCCTAGAAAGCTACATCATGCATGAACCTCTCTCTGAATTCTAGACATTCTACTATAGCACAAGAAGAACAGGAATATAATAATATACACCTAAATTACTTTTAATGGGTTCACAATTACAAGAATGCATGCCTTGGTCAATGTGATTTGAACTCCGAATGTAGTTAGTGAGCTATACCATGAAAAAATTATAGAGATAATGTCGGACTTGACAATACTTTGCTGAATTTTCGAAAGGTGAATCTGGTAGAATTTTCATAAATTGGAGCTGATTCTATAGCAACTGAAAATGGTAACAGTAGGAGCAGCAGGAGCAGCAGCAATACTCAGAGTGATGGTTCCCCTGTAGACCTTCCTTGTGGAAGATCTAGGTTCCATATCCTGGTAGCACATTTTGTGATCCACCCAACACCTGTCTATCACCAGAGGACTGTTATTTGCTATGATGCCAAACCATTTTGGTGAAGCTTTTAGACTAAGGCAGACTAGACTAGGAAAAGAAGGACTCTCAATCTACTAAGAATGATCACAGGTAACAGTACTTATGATATGCACACAGAATGTGTGAAATAAAACTTAATATAATTGTAATATAAATGAAATGTAAAGAAAGCAAACATTCAGTTTTGCCATGAGTTAAAATAGAAAGAAACATCCTTAATGCAACTCAGATGATTGTTTAGAAACTTAATCTATACATTTAAGAGTCAGAAACAAGGCAAGATTATCACTCCCATGTCTACTATTCAACATATCCTGGATATTCTTGCTGGTGAAAAGAAGTCAAGTTACGAAAGAAAGAAAAAAAAAAATACAGGTATAAGTATTGTAAACACAGAAGGGAAATTCTTCTTTTCAGCTCTTGCAATAGTCTATCTAAGATTCTTCAAAAGAATGAGTTGAAAGTGGTAAAAATTAGAAAATCAATTCCATAAAGTCATGGGGTACAAGACCACTGTATAAACCTCAATAGATTTCTCTTCTGCCTATAAAACTCAACAGTTTTCCTTTCTACATATAAAACTCTGTACACCAGGAGTAAACATGTGGACCTGGCGGTCCAGTGGCAAGGAGCTGCACTGCAATTGCAGAGATGCAAGGTTTGAATCCACCAGATGCTCTGCTGGAGAAAGAGGGACAATCTCCTCCTCTACCAGTTTGAAATGATATGATGGTGCACACATAGAAAATAATAAAATAAAATAAAAAAACCCAACACCCCCCCCCCAATATTTAAAAAAACTCCACAAAACAAAACAAAACAAAACAAAAAACTTGTGGACCGTGAAATGAGAAGAACTCATAATGTCAGTGAAAGAATGTTAAAAATTCTAGGCATTTTCTCAATGCTATTAAAAAGGTTCAATAAGACATTAGAAAGGAGTTCTTGTGGCCTAGTGGTAAGACGACCATCAGTGCTTGATACCAGCAGTGAGGATATCAGGAGATGTATTGCACTGAAAAAGTCTGTAGTGAGGAACCTCTCCAAAGTATTGCGGGACAATGATGTCCTTTTGAGGAGTAAATGAGCCTGACTCAGGGTATGATCTTTTCAGTCACTTGCTATGCATTTGAGAGCTGGACAATGACTAAAGGTGACAGAAAAGCACTGATTTCTTTGAATTGTGGTGTTGGAGAAGAGTACTGAATATCCCATGGACTGCCAAAAGAACAAATGGATATGTCACAGGGAAAGGGCAGCTAGAGTGCTCCTTGGAGGCAAAGATAGATGATGAAGCTTTAACTCACATAGTTTGAGTATGTTGCTAAGAGAGGTTGTTGCTTGGAGAGGGGTCATCAGACTCAAGAAGGTGGCAGGACAGCAAAGTAGAAGAAAGTGCTCAACCACAGACATTCACACAGTGATTTTACTTATTGCTCCAGTTATAGGAATTTTTGTTTTCTTTAAAGTGAGGCTGAACTCTTTACTTGTCATTGTTAATTGCTTCAAGGGTTTGTTTTTTTCAAGCAAATTTGTGTCACTTGTATCAAATAAAATGAATGAGTTTTCTCAGCATATGTATTAAATAAATATGATGAAAGGGTAAAACTGTGTCACTCATCTTTCCTGATTTTAATCCTCTTGTTCTGGTCAAACAATTGCTTCTTGGTCTAAGTGTTCTGAAATTCTCCTTTGTGTTACTACTTATTGGTCCTACCTGATTAACATCTTTGTACAGACAAGGCTATAAAACACTCAAACAACCATATATCGTACTTAGTTCAATCTTTCATTGTGTTCCCAAGGTTGTAAGTCTTAGAGGAGACTGTCTATCCTATCATTCTCCTGAGGAGTTTAATGGATATGAACCTCTAGATATAGGCAGCCTTTTGAATAGGAGCTCAACATACTACTGACTTTCCCACCAGAGGTCCATGAGAAGTTATTAAAACAATCCATGGCCTTGGAGTCAGAGCTGACTTACAGCTTACTTGCCATGGGTTTTCAGATGCAGTAAATCTCATGGGAGGGAATTGTCCATCCTCCTGTGAGTAGCTAGGGCCTTAGAGTCTTGTGTCCTTGGGATTGCTGTGCAGGTTCTCACCACTAGGCCCCCATCCTTCTACCTTCCTTCCAGCTAATAAAAAAAAATGTTATTCTGTAATTACAAATCTGAATGACAAAGATCTGCCACAACACAACTATTATGCTGACTACAATTCATAAAACCGAGAGCATAAAATTCTAGTGAGGATTTGTAGCAATAGAAATGCTTATTCATTGCCCAAAGTGCAAAGAAATTTATCTTGGAGATAAGAATTGTGCAATGTCTTCTCACAGAACCTGGATATTTTTTCATAAGAAGCCAATTCTTGGAAAAAGACAGAACACTGGAAAAGGTGGAGGGCCAGAGAAGGAGGTAGACCCTTAAGAAGATAGGTCCAATTAAGGTGTCTTACTCACATGCGTGAGCATATATGGCAACTCAATGATGGCCTATACTACGGTTTTAAACAGTTCTGTACTGCAGGACTTGTGTTTTTACTGTCTGAGATTTTGAAAGAAGACTGTACGTGTGAAATCCTCCAATTATTCCTAATCTCAGTTGACAGGAGAGCTACAGGCTGCTCCCCAGGAAGTGCTGTCCACTGAGACACCTGAGAGAATCCAGGGGGTCAAGCCTTGGGGATCTGAGTCTGGTCTCAGCTCACAGCCTTTCTTCCCATCGCTGTCCCCAGTCTCTTCACGCCTTCCCATTGGGACCCTCAGATTCTTCCTCCCACA